GAGGTTGCTGTGAGCTGTGACTCCATAGCACTGTACTAAGGAAAACATAGTGAGACACTGTCTCAAAACGAACAAATAACAACAAAACAAAAAACCAGAATAATAGAAAATTCAGGGTATGAATGGAAAGCTGACATAAAAGTAACAGAAATTCGGGGTTAGAACTTTTATGGCTTTACAACTAGTGACACTTTTTATTTATTTATTTTATTGAGACAGAGTCTCACTTTGCCACCCTTGGTAGAGTGTCATGGCATCATAGTTCATAGCAACTTCAAACTCTTAGACTCAAGGGATTCTCTTGCCTCAGCCTCCAAGTAGCGGGATTACAGGTACTTGCCATAATGCCTAGCTATTTTTAGAGACTGGGTCTTACTCTTGCTCTGGCTGGTCTTGAACTCCTGAGCTCAAACAGTCTACCTCCCAGAGTGCTAGGATTACAGGTGTGAGCCACTGCATCCAGCCTAGTGACACTTTTTAAAAGTAATATAGGGCTTGGTGCCTGTAGCACAAGTGGCTAAGGCACTAGCCACATACACCTAAGGTGGCGGGTTCGAATCCAGCCCAGGCTTGCCAAATAACAATCATGGCTGCAACCAAAAAATAGCTAGGTGCTGTGGCGGGCGCCTGTGGTCCCAGCTACTTGGGAGGTGGAGGCAGCAGACTTGCTTGAGTCCAGGAGTTGGAGGTTGCTGTGAGCTGTGATGCTACAGCACTCTACCTAGGGGGGACGGCTTAAGGCTTTGTCTCAAAAAAAAAAAAAAAGTAATATAGTTAGTCAAAACACTTTCTTGATCTATAGTGATTAGTTTAGTTATTAAGTTTAGTTTCCAGCTCTTATTAAAGAGTTAGATCTGTTGTAATCAATGGCAGTAATGCTTACTTGGATGTCAACCTGCTAAAAAATATGATGAAAAATGTTTGGTTTTTGAACAAGCACATTTTTTCTAATTGGGGAAGCTCTCTATTTGACATTGTTTATGTTTAGCCAAAAATTACAATGCAAATCATGCTGTTTTACCGTCAATGTCCTGGGCTTCAATTTTCAAATAAAAGCTGCACACTTCCTCAGAGGTACTGGTTTTGTAAGCTACAGTTCTTACCTACATTGGAACAAGTAAATGAGAAGATTCTATTTAGAATGGGAAAATGAAAAAGGTATCATGGCACTATTGCTGTTACAAATGGGACGCTTGAAGCATTATCTTCATAATCCAATACAAATGGTGTACATTAAGGACACATTTTTCCAGAAGCTGGACTTTCAGCAAAGTATGCAATCCAAACTATAGCTGAGAAATTCCAAGTAAGCAAAAATTGACTTCTGACAAGACAAAATCTTGGTCCAAATTCTATGTAGTCAAATCTGAGTACCTTACTTTAAAAGTTCCCAGGTCTCTTGTCCCTGAGCCCATACATTTAATTTAACACGTAGCACTGTGAGGTTAGGAAGTGTAGATTTCTCCCAGCCCACACACCATCATAGCAAACAACAAATTTTAGGTGTGTATGAATGGGCAAGGGTCTTCCCAAAGTATATATATCAAGAACAACCAGAAATAACAAGAAAAGTGAACAGCCACCCCCCCATACAATCCTATAAACAGTTCTTGAAAGAAATATACTGAACATAACAGCATGATTAAAATCTTCAATAGAATGATAATGCTCAGACTATGACATTTTCAGACTGCATGGATGTATGTAAATAGCTTTAAAAAGTTTGCAACTGCTAAGTGGCTGAAATAAAAGAGACTTAATCCTTTACATATAACATATCAATCCTCAAAGATGCAGTTTATTAACAATAGAGAAAAAATATATTTATACACACATATATACACATATGATCATCAAATTATATATCTAGTCTATATCTAAACACATAACTTTCACAAATATATAGAATGTATAAATACAAGGATTAATATAGCTATTTTCTTTTTTTTTCATTTACATATTTTTATTTGGAAATGTTTATATCAATACAGTGAAACTAAACGTTTGACATGGGATGTCAACAGTTTAGATATCATCAATTTATTATAAAAGAGAGACATGGAAATTATTTACATCATGCAAGATTTCAGAACTTCAGTGGGATGGGCAGCTTCATGTCAATGCCATTTCAATAGTGATTTATTTCAGTCTACATACTTTCCAAGAATGTCACCATCTCTAAATAAGAAATAGCCCTTGTCATCTAGAACTACTTTAGTGCCTCCATATTCTGGGAGAAGAACTTTATCTCCAACTTTCACACTAACTGGTTGAATCTCTCTACCCTTTCCTTTAGAGCCTGACCCAACAGCCACTACTGTTGCTTGCAATACTTTTCCTTGAGATTTTTCTGAAAGCATAATATCTCCTTTGGTTACAGTTTTGGCTGCACACCTTTCCACCAATACTCGATCGAAGAGTGGAAGAAACTTTCTAAATGCTTGTCCTGCCATGGTTCCCACCTCCGAAGCCACCACCCTACTCTCGCCGCACGGCTGCAAGGAGAATATAGCTATTTTCAAAAATAAATTGTGAGGCTGGTCATAAAGATTTCGAGGAAGAATTAGATAAATGAATACTAATTTAGTCATGGTTACTCAAGTCTAGATTTTTTTGTGGCAAAGTCCTTAACTTTTATGTTACCTAATACAAATGGATACCTAACTCCCTACTGGCTCTCAATTAAATACTTACATGTACTGTAGCCAAGCCACTGCTATATCCTGTGCTGACAATGAGGTCATCGTTGAGGGGTACCTGGAAAGGTGGACAGAGAAACCATGCTTTCTTTTATCATCCAATAGGAAGGGAGGATAGAGCAATACAAAGAGTGGGCTGACACCTACCATCCTCCTCTTTCAAAGCTCTGGTGAGATTAAATGGATAAGACATTGAAAATGCTATGGCCATAGCAGGCATTAAAAAAGGCTGGAATTTCCCATTTTCCTTCTACATGTAAATAAGACATCTGAGATCCCTTGAGTTAGTCAACAAAACCAACATGTCAGAAGCCAGTTAGGTCACATTTTCATTTATATAAGGTTATGGTAAAACCGGATCTTTATCTTCTTTTGCTAACTAAATAAATTCCTTTCAGGGCCTGGCTCAGGAGTCAGCATTCTATGTGCCAATGAAGATCATTTTCATTAGCACCAGGAACAGGGAAATTCCACGTCAACTCTAAAGAGGGTACAATCTATCTTTGTCCCTCTTTTACCTCCCCTTTGCACCCCTCTTTCATCTCTTGATGACTCATATTTCCTACTTGTCACTTGGCTTTGTTTGCCAAAACTCTTTGTACCTTGCCCCAAACCCCTTGCACCCCACCTAAGCTTTCCAAATCCTTAATTGCCTATCCCCAGTCTGTCAGGAGAAAAGTGAAGACACGAATTGAGTTGAGTAATTCTCCTTTCCAGAGACACTCCCCTGTCCAAATGCTCCCTAATTTGTGGAAAGTATGAGAGGGATCTTTTTGAGCAAGGAGCCTAAGAATTGGCTCTTCCTTTACTCCAAGTCTGCAGTCTCCCTTTGGTTTGCTTCGTATACCAAAGCAACAGGGATTCCATGTGCATTAAAGTTGTTAATCCTTCCTTTAAATTTTAGTAAACGTAGGAAAACCAGTCAAGCTTCTTGTCTTCCTGATGGAATATATAGCAGCATTCATTCGAAAACAAGTGCCTTGAGATGCTGCATGAGAAAACATGACTATGGACAAATTAGGTTTGGAAGATGTTGTGTACTGTGCCCTACCTCTGTCCCTTTTCCTCCCCAGAGTCACCTCACTTACTCACATACATATTAAAGAACTTGTTTAACTTCATTCAAACCAGAGTTTCCCATGCCTGCTCTCCTGCCTCACATTGCTTCATGTAACACATTTCAGGAAACACTAGAGTGGAGAATTCTAAACTAGCTAGTAACAGCCCAGGTTTCATTTGGAGGCAGCATCCTGGGCTGAGGTTTAGATAATTTTAAGATGACAAGCAGCCCCTTATAACATTAGCCCTCTAGGAAAGAATAATTCCAGCTACCTCAAATAAGCCTACCTCTCACATCAAGAGCTCCTCTTCAGAGCTTAATCTTACTTAGAACATGAATCTCTGGTGAACTCTCCTCTCCCAGGGAAAGGAGATAAGTTACTAAACTGCAAACTGCAAACACAAATGCCTCTAAGAGGCCCAAGCACAAAGCAAGAATGTACAGAAATGCATATGCATATCTCATGTGATTTGTGGGGATTGCAGCAAATTACCAATGCCCCGATCCCCACTATCAGATCTTTTGGTCTTTCAAGGGAAGTTAAGAATCAGAATTTTATTTGAAATCTCTGAATCTTTAAATGTTGGCATATATCCACACATATATACACAGGGTGGCCATAAAGTTCATGTGCAAATTAAAGGAACTTTATGGACACCCTGTATATGTACGTATGTATGTGTCTATATGTATACACACACACACATATATATACATATATACAAAATACATATATCTTTTTTTACACATAGATATATTATTTTTTTTTTACTATGGGCTACTGGTTTGCAATTTTTACATTAAATTTTATTTTTCATGCCTGTTTACTTTTCACAAATGCTAACTTGAGAAAGATATCAACAGTGAAGCCTATTTCCAATTATTTGTATATTTAAATATACTTGAAAATAATACAAACATAATGATTAGAAAAATATATATTAGCATATGTCGAATGCCATAGTCAACTGTATCAGCAGCTGTGTATACTGGCAGCTAATATTAATGTAGAACCTAGTTTTTCTAATGTGTCCTTTTCTTATGGAAATTTTCAAAAGCCATTGGTTTTAACTTTTAAGAATCTCATGTTAGCAAAGGACATAGGGTAAGGATGGGAGAACTAAAGGCTAATTCTAATCTGGCTACAGTCTGTATGGATGCCCAGGGCCAAAAGAACCGTGGCAGCCTCCCAAACACACCTCTCTTACTCTGCCACTGTACTTGACCGCTATACTGCTATGTGCACTATTATCTGTATCTAAAAGGTTCTTCCCCTTTCTTCACCTGGCTAATTTATTCTGATTCTTCCAGATTTGACCCACATATCTGAACACATTTGACGACCTCCCCCCACCTTCTAGTCTGGATCCGGAGACCCACTGTGTAATTCCATGTACCCATCAAGACTCTTATTTTTTTCACTGTCTTCCTAAAATGATGATCTCTCCCTGGTATGTGGGTTCTTTGTGCTTTATGTTTGAATTCCTAGTACCCAGGATATAGCATTCAGCATATGTATAAATAATGAATAAATACATTTGTAACATACAGTGGAATAGATGACTTCAATGATCTCATCCAACTGTAGACTATTACAACAAATTTTTCATTTACCTCCACTGGCCTCCCAAGAAAATTGTTCTCTGTCACTTTGTAATGGTAGAGGTCACCTTTGTGCTTGTAAGAGACATTGATGTCCATATTCAGGTGGAGTTGTTTAATCAGGAGTGAATATTCTGTCAGGCCCTCAATGGCATTAATTGTATCCTATCAACAATAAGCAAGGCAAGAAAATATGTTTAGTTTATTTTCCAACTCCCTTTTACAAATGCCTTTTTTTTTTTT